AGGATTTGTTTTTCTCATGGTGATGGCAGAAATTCAAGGCCATAGCCCAACTGCACCAACCTCTGCTAACAAAGCAAGTCACATGGCCACATACATGTAAAATGCTAGGGGTGAGTAGGGGTGGAGTTTGAAGCACATTCATTTCACAAGGAGTTAGAAAAGAGTGCTTATTTGCTGAAGAGTAACCTTGTCACAAATAATCTGTATAAAATATTTACTGTATTTATTTTTGTATGGTGGGCTCAATGCCTTTGTAGTTCAGATGAGGCTGGAGGTATAGGGAAGGATTTATAGTTTCTGCTAAAAATAACAATAGTAATAATCATAGTTAATACTTCCAACAGTAGAATCCTATGGGTCATGATAATAATTGTTTAGTTTTAATTCATGAAAAAATCTCTCCTTCTTCTTCAATATTTTGGTTTCATACCTTTGAATATAAGCCTGCCCCATCTTTTTTTTTCTCATTTAGTGATACTGTATTTATCCATTTCTACACAGTTTTTAAAAATGGATCTAATTTAATGTTGCCATTGAGCACTGAAACACATGGTTTTTGGATCTTTGGCACTAGGAAAGAGATGTGAATAGAAGGAAAATAAGATGATCGAGTGATATGGGTATGGTGTACATCAGAGTTCAGAGTCCACTTTCCTTATTTCACAAATAGGGAAAGTGTAGCCCTGAAAAGTGCCCAAGGTTATGTAATGACTATGCCAGTCACACCACATCTTGGCTCCCCAAATTTACTATGGCACATAAAAAATGTTATCTGAATCAGTGACCAAGTAAGAACCTTCCCCAATAATACTCCTACAAAGCTTTGTGTTTTATTAACCTTAATATGCTGCTTTCAGATAGAGACAGAACAAGTACTAGAGAAGGAGCCAGAAAACCTGTGTACTACTCCTTGTTCTTCCACTTGTTGGCCATGAGACCTGCAGTGAGCCAACTTACCCTGTCTGACCTCAATTTTCCCCCACTAAGAACAAAACCACTTGCTCTGTCTTAGTCAGAAGTGGTTGCCAGGATCAAAATAAGAATCTGTGAGCATTGTCTCATGATACAAAAATGCAATTTGTTGGCATTCACCATCAGTAAGATATGCCTACGGTGTTTTTTTCATGTTGGCATATAATAAAACAAAGACCATAGTGAATTATTAAACATTAAAAGCCTTAGCATTTACCCTCAGGGAGATAGCAAAATTGTTATGAATTCATCTATGTGATGCAGAGATAAATTATTGTACAACAAACTAAAAATTTCTGTCAATGTAAAACCAATTTCTCTGTAAAGGTGTAGAATATTTATTCTCATATAGACAGATAGTGTTCCAAGCCCTGGAAAATAGCCATAAATAAAGCAGACCAAAAAGTACAATTGTAAGTTACCTTTTGCCAAGAGTCCTGCCAATTAAGAGAACAGCCAGTTAATAAATCACTTTTGAGTAACCACTAGATACTGCAAGCCAGATGGGTGGATTTCCACTAAAGCAAAGTTTTCCAAGGCTGTGACTTTCTTAATAGTTTTTCTCTTTCCTTCAAATCAAAGACATCTTGATATTATGTTAAAATATATTAGTTTGCAAAGGCTATTGACATTGTGATTGGCTTTGCTTGGGCCTGAATGAATGTTGACCCTAACTCAGGACCACTTAGCCCTAAAAGTCAGGGTACACCAGTGCATTTGCCACAGGCCTGCAAATAGAGGTTTTCACACATTTTTAAGTGCACTAAGGGAAACTGATGGTGCGAATCAGGGACCAGTCAACTAAAAATAGCCATTGGCTATTTTATGGAAATACTTTATGAAATTTGGCCTAAGATTATTGGTAAGAAGAAAGTAAAAATTAATGATAGCATTTGGGTATTTTCTGTAACTTCAAGAATTCTTATCACTCTCATATACTATAAAAAAAAAATGACCCAGTCAGTGAAAAAGTATTTCAAGTACACCATTAAAGGTACTGATTTGTGGGAGCTGAGGAAGAAGAAGAGGGTACGTGGGAAAAGAGTTCTTTACTCTGCATTGGTATAAGCTGTCACCTAAGAGAACTCCTAGCCCCTGATGCATACAATTAGAGATGAAAATAGAAGTGAAAGGGGAAATAAAAAAAAAAAAATGTTGCCCAAAGACTCGGTATTAGGTATGTCTTGTACCTAAACAAAAAGGCATAATTCTCCATTTTCCACTTAAAAGGCATCTACTCCAGGGGACTAGCCTGACTCCTGCCCCTGCAGATCTGAGCAAGTGCATTCACACTCACAGCATCATTCCTGAGTTCCCTCTCAGGGAACTTACATCACAGAATCATTACTGCTTACTTTCTTGCCTACATACTTCTAGGGTAGGAACTCCATGGGATCAGCTGTGATTTCTATCTTATAATTATTCTGTATAAATTCATGGCCTATGTTTGATATATCTTTGTAAAATTAAAGGATAGAAAATAAATGTTGAAAGTAAACACTGCAGAACACATAAATGAACACCTTCTGAAAGAGACTGAAGAGAACAAAATTAACTAAAATTCTTCAAACTGAGTGCCTGGTAGACAAGGAAAATGAATTTGTGGGTGGGTAGACATCTTATTTCTCCTTATCTCCCCAGGCCATGGAAAATACTTAGTAACTATTGAACAGATATACAATAAATGAATTGTTGTCTAAATACAGAAAACAGAATAGGACTTTAAGGTTTATCTCATTTTAAAATGTGACCATAATACTGGTTGCTTAACTAATTCTTCTGATGCCTATCAAGGGTCATCATCCTAGAATTAGCTAGAGAGCTAATTAATCTCAAAAAAGGCAACTGACCTCCCTCAATAACTCTTTTTCTAAACAAATCTAAGAATGGAAATCTCTTGTTTCTTCCTGAAGCCCATCAAAGAAACAATACAAATCTCTCTCTGATAAAACATTGGAAGCTATCCCATAACTGTTAATTTTAACCATATTTTACTCATTATTTCATTAAATATTTCCTTTAAGGAAAGGAAATATAAACGTGATTGTTGGAAACTGTCTCCACTTTGGCCCTAATATGTCACTAAGATATTAAAGAATCTTTTAACTATAAACACTGTCTCTGCCTCTGTGTTTTTCTATATTCTCTTTCTATTTCAGCCCAATTGTTTGATAATTCAGCTGATGGCACTGTCAAATAAGAACCAGTCTCCATGGAGTATATCATCAATAGACTAAGGAATTAGTCTACTGACTTCCTTACTTCAGCTCAAAATGAGATAGATAGCACTTCATTTTTATAGATGACATCATTTGGGACCTAGAATCTGTATTTTGCTCTAATAAGCCTTCCTTGTCCTTATCAAGGCCCAATTACATAGCGAGTCCAGTCATCGAGATATTAATTGCATGTAAACACTTGTTAGAAATTGAATAATGCCCAAAAAGGATTGAATATTGCACATGTTTAACATGTATTTGGTGCTATGGCCTGCGATAGAGGTTTAACAAGGTTGTAAAGGTCCGTGCTAAACTAATTATGGCTGCTGATTTCTTAAGAACAGAAACACGAGAGCTCTTTCTGCAATGTGAGCACACTCAAGCCAGGAAAAGAGTGCTCAACAGAAGCCACCTTGAAAAGTGTTATCTATGCTAACCAAGGAAAAAAAAAAGATGAAAAATCAAGAATGAATAAAGGGATTATAATCCAATGATACAGAAATAAATGAAGTATCAACAATTATATGCAAACAAATTGGATCACCCAGATGAAATGAAAAAAATTTTAGAAAGACAAGTTCTACCAAAGTTGATTCAAGAAAGTACAAAATATCTAATTAGAACTGTAACAAGTAAAGAAATTTCACTTAATAAAATCAAAACCCTTCTCACAAAAAAAATCTCAGCCCAAATAACTTCGTGACTGAGTTCTACCAGTTAATATTGATCATTCATAAATTCTTGCAAAATATAGAGAAGATGGGAATGTATTACAACTCATTTGATGAAGTCAGAATATTTCTGGTACTACAATGTAGCCAAAGAAAACATAAAAAAGAACAGACCTATATAGCTCTTATGAATATCAATGCAAAAACTTAACAAAATACTAGGAAACTGAATCCAGCAACATGTAAGAAAGATACACAAAGACCAAGTAGGATTTATCCTGGAGTACAAGGTCAAACTGACACATAAAAATTAATCAAAGCAATACAAAATATTAATAATGTATAAATCCACATGATCATTTCAATAAATGCAGAAAAATACATTTGACTAAATACAATACTATTTTGAAATTTAAAAAACACTCAATAAACTGGGCATAAAAGACAAATTTCTAAATGAAATAAAGGCCACCAACACAAAAATCCACAGTTAATAATCACATTTGTAATAATATTTTTGGATATTCTTATATCAAACATACTGGGCAATCAGATTATTTCTTGAATTACATATTCACCAAAAAAACACACATTTTCCTAGAAAAATGACTGATTCCAAGTCTGTGACATGAAATGTACAAGACAAGGTTGGAAGCTGAAAAGGTGAGAAATCTTAAAGATTGCTGGGGTCACAAAAACTTTCAAAGACAAATGAAACAACCTGAGCAGACACAGAAATATAGATCAACATTATTACTCCCTGAAATAATTTTTTTATTCAAAAAAATAAAACTTACAGCTCACCTTTGGAGAAAGCTAAGAAAATAACTCATGTTGGAAACTGGCAAATGATGGGAAATAATCAAACATATAAGCTGCCTTCCTGTATAAACTATAATGCAAGATAATCAAATAGTTAATGAGGGAAAGTTTGGCTTCTTGAAATTTTTCTAGCTAATAAATTTTTTAATGACAGAATGAGAACATCATTTTAAATATTCTTAATAGAATGATAAATAGGTGAAAATAATTCATAGCTGTTAACATAATGAAATAAGAATAATTGTACTTCATATGCCTCCTAACTGAAGTATATTTAATAAAAATCATAGCTGATGTCTTACCTGATGGTCTCAGTGCTATCACCACTGTAGCCTGTGTTCAATGGCAGGCCAGGGAGCTAACCCACATATGGCACAGCAGACATCTCCTGTCTATATAATAATAAAAACACAGCATATGAAAATATATGGAACATAGCTAAAACAATGCTTAAAAATAAATTTAATTTAATTTAATTTTCTAATATAATTGGAAAAGAAAAATAGTTTCAAATCAATCTAACCTTGCATCTTACTAGAAAAATAGCAAATTGAACACAAAGCAAGCTGAAGGAAGAAAATAATAATAAACATAAGACAGTAAAATCATAAACTGAAAAACAAGAATGAAAATCAATGAAACCAAAAGTTAGTCTTTGAAAAGATCAATAAGAATGATATACCACTAGGAAAACTATCAAGGAAAAAAGAGAGAAAAGATACATATAACTAAGAGTGGGAATCAAAGAGAAGATACCATAGTAGATCTTAGAAACATTACAAGGATAATGAGGGAAAATATTATGCCAATGAATTCAAAATTAAATAAAATAGACAAATTCCTTCAAAGAAACCAACTATTCAAATTCATTCCAAATGAAATAGGTAATCATAATCTTATTTTATGATTAAAGAAACTGAATTCATGATTTAAAAACTTTCACAAAGAAAACTCTAGACCCAGATGACTTCACTAGGGAATTCTACCAATTCTGCACAAACCCTGTCTGAAAGCAGAGGAGAAGGGAACACTTGACGATTCAGTCTATGTGTGGTAATGGCATAATGATTGTGTTTTTTGAAAGGGGGCCTTTGGAGAAATAATTAGTCATACATGATGAAAGAAGTACAGACACAGGATATAATCTCTAGGATTTGCTATGAGACATTTAGGAGATGGTCATAAGGAGATAAGGAGTAGCAGGAGTTGGAGATGAAGGAAGATGAGTCAGATATCAATAATTACTGAAGCTAGGTTCACTACACCATTCTCTCCAGCTTTATGTGTTCAAAAATTTCCATAAAATAAAATCTAATATAAAGTTTTTTAAATAAGTGATTAAAAGTACTGCTTTCATAATACATCTCTAAGAGACTCATTCCAGTAAAGAATAACCATAGCCCTGCTGAGCTATAGATCACCTTCCCTCAACTTTACAAGTTTCAAACACATGCCTATCCTCCCACTGATTTACTACAAAAATAGTTAATAGCTATCATATTGCAAGACTTTTTTTTAATATAATTGTGTTAAATTAAGCCTTATAGTATCTCCCCCTTTTCTACAGGGGTTATGTGCCAAGACACATGGTGGATTCCTAAAATTGCCAATAGCACTGAACACCATGTACATTATGCTTTTTCTACATGTACAACTATAATAAAGGGATTAAAAATAATAACTAATAATAAAATAGAACAATTACAACAATCTACTGTGATAAAAGTTACCTGAATGTGCTCTCTCACTTTCTCAAAATATCTTTTTATAATATTCTCAGACCACAGTTTTACAAATAAGTGGAAAGTGAAACTACAGATAAGGAGGAAATACTATTAATTTCTTATTTAAATCCCCTGCTGGTCCCATCCCAGGACATTCATTTTGTGAATATTTTCTTTAATACTTATTAGGTGCCAGGCATGGGCAAAGTTGCAGAGGTCCACAGCTGAAAATAAAATAAAGAGTATCTTTATTTTAATTATCTACTGTGCAGCCTACACTAAGATGCCTATCGTTTTATTGAGAAATAGTTTCATCAGTTTGTAAATGAGAAGACAAGTTCATTAGCCTGACTGGTAACCTCAAATATGAGTCATTGTTTAAACAACTCATTTACAAACACATGTAGGAAGCCATCTATTTTGTTGTTCCATTGTGTTTTGTTTTTCTATGCTGTGGGTCAGCAAGCTCTTTCAGTAAAAGGTCAGCTGATAAATATTTTAGACTTTGCAACCCATGTGTCACATATCCTTCTTTGTTTTGTTTTGCTTTTTTTACAATCCTTTAAGAATGAAATTCATTTTTTGCTCTCAGGCTTAAAAATAGTCCATGGGCCAGATTTGGCCTCTGGGCCACAGCTTGCCAACACTCAAAGTACACTACAGTATTTTTAATTTTAATTCACTTATAGTATCTCACATCAACTAAAATCATTGAATCATTGCACCATTCAGTACTAATCAGGGTAGAAAGCAAATCAGAAATACTTTATATGTCTGTTTCATCTGATCACTACTACATTACCAATGAACTCAGAATGTTAGCAACAAAGTGAAGTAGTAATCAGATCTATAGTGTGATTTTTGCAGTGATTTTGTCCCAAAAAAAGGTGCTTATCTCAATTCCATGACAACTTCATTCATTCTATGGCCACAACAAGAGATAATAAAAGAACCAGATCACGAGAATAAAATACATTTGTCCTTACAACTGAGACAGAAAGTTAGGAATCAGTATTTCTTATTCAGTTACCCTTAAAGCACAGAAAGCTAAGTCAAGGTTATTTTTAAGCCTTCTCAGCTGAGTTAATCACATCAAAGTAAAGTGTGTTCTAAATTAAAACAGATGCTGCAAACCAAAATGTGAAATTTTCCTTTTTGCCCCCAAAATCTTCTATCCCACCCCTGATTGCCCTCAGAGGCCACTCTTGTCCTTACAAGGATTCAGAATGCTTAACAGGAGTGCAAAAAGAAGAAAATAGTACTTAAGTCTTTCGTTTCTCAATCAATTTTAAAATCCATAACAGAGACAGCAGTCTTAAGACCAAAGCATTTTATTTTTAAGAGCCAGTCTTCCTGAGAGAACATTTTGAGAATCCAAAGTGATAAGATCTGAAGTAAGCAGAGCCTAAAGTTTATACATTAACAAGTGATTAGAACAACCAGAGAAAAGGACAGATTAAAGTAAATGAGGCTTGCTTGAGTTGCAAGAGGGAAGAGAAATGTTAGGGGCAACTAGAAGGAGGAGTCCTGAGGATAGGAGGAGTCCTGGGGAGAAGGGAATCCACTTTTAGTAGTCTCTGTAGCACAAACAGAGGCAGTATCCCCCAGTGGCAGGCAGTATCCCCCCAGCTCACCCTCTGTAAGTGAGCCCTGACACCTGTCCGTGCTGAGAACAATTCAGGATGCATCATTCTGTGACAGTGGCCCACAGGTCTCTAGTTAGTTATGCATCAAAAATGTATCCATTACAGCCCTGAGAGTTTACGCCTCACAGTTCAAACAAATAAGGTAGGACAGACTGGAACCAGCCTGAGACCCTATCACGCTCCCTACACTCACACTACCCTCCAGAAAAGACAGTGCAAAAACCCTAATTCCAGGTGTCACAAGAATCTGAATTCAGAGAAAGTTATGTGCACAGGGAAACCCTACTAGCAAGAGACAAATCTGGGACTCAAGCCCTGTTTGGTCTTGCTCCAAAACTACTGCTCTGAATTGCGGCATTATGCTACCTCCCAAAAGTCATTTTGAGCATAATTCTATAGTTATTTTTTAATGAAAGTCCATCTACCTAAAATAAGCATAAGAGCAAGAAGTCTCATTTGTATTATCAATTACACGCAAAGTTCCTTACACAAGTCCCTAGCAGTCCCAAAGTTCCTTCCATATGTTAGCTCACTGAATGCCCACAAGCACCTGCAAAGTAAACAGAGTTGAGATGGAAATTGGATGTCCACTTTAATTAATTTAACCAAGTCATAGAGCTCATAAAATGTAAAACCAGGAATTAAGCCCAGACCAGACCAATACCAAAGATGGTCTCTTTTCTACTATAGCAATCAGCACCACGTATATAGAACGTATGAAAAGAAACTGCAGTGTATTTTTTAATTGGCCATTTATTGCATGTAAAATAATCTGTCTACTCAAACAAATTTCTGTCCATTAACTTCCAATTTCTTGGCCTGCAGCTAAATATAAACTTAATTTTGTTCTGCTTACAAAGCTGATATTTTACAAATAGCTTGTGTTATTAGATTCCTGACCTTAAACATTTATTTACACTAAACTCCCAGCACAAGATTTAGGTACATAAATAATGAGAAAAGAAAGAAAGAGAGAAAGAAGTCAGGAAAAGAAGAAAAAAGTACATGTTTTCAATCAGCAATAAAACAGATTATAAATACCTGCCTATCTTAGGACTTTATAAATATATAAACTTGTAGTATTGCAGCATCTTTTTAAAGTAAAATTCCCTAAATGATCATTTATGTTCATCGCCATTTAGCTCTAACCAGAAACGATTTAACTCTATGGTGTTAATTTCAAAAACAAATGCAAACATCCCTAGGATCTTGCCGTTAAGGTGAACCTGTCTGCCAGAGCTCCCCCACGTGGCCACACATCAAAAGTCCTTGCTGCTCGGTCTATATGAAAGTTTATTTTTTTAAGGAATCTTCATTGGCACTATTTACAATTACTTATATGCTAAATAGCAACTTATTTGTTAAATGGAATGTTTCATCTTTAGCAGTGAAACACGTGTTACGAATATACTATCAATAGACTAGAACAGATTTTTAAGGATTCACTAGCTTATAGTCTGTGCTGCATCTTGGCCATAGTCATAAAATATTTACTGGAGTGACTAATGGTGTGAAAGTGGCATGGTCATGCAGAGAGAAACTAAATTCTTCTCCAGGATAAAATGAAACACATTTCCTCCATCTAAATTCACAGAATCCACTTAACCAGATCTTTACAAAGCCATGCAGTGATTACTAATCCAGAGCAAATAACAGAAAGCAGCATTCACTCTGGCAGACCCACTTAGCAAGCTGCTTATCTGGCAGAGTCTCTAAATCACCCCCTTAGGACCATTTGTTTTTTACCCTTTGGATGAATTTGTCAGGGTCAGTACCAGGGTAAAGTAGTAAGAGGAGAAAGTGGCATTAGCCTTTTCACTACCTCCACTTCATGCCAGCTCCCACCCATGTCAGTCTACCTCACCCTCTAGCTTGTGGTTCTCTCCTCTTTTAACCTAAACCCCTGCTTCCATCCTAATCCCATGCAGGTCATGTTGTTTATTTGTGAATGTCTAAGTGGCGACACTTCCCAGTCTTGGGATGTTTATAAGGACCTTTAAAACTAAAGTCTTTATTATGAAT